TTGAATCCACTTTCTTCATGATATTTCTCAGTTCACCTTTCTTCCTCTGTGAAACCTCAATCAGAGTCTCCACCTGATGTCCTTTGTGGACCCTCATATGGTTATCACATAGATATGCTTTGCAATGAAGACATGTTTTAGCAGCAGGTACAGGAGAATGAACACAATAAGTACAGAAGATGTTCCAAATCTCTTCCTGATCTTGCTGAGTAGATTGATGGAAATTGTCTATTATGTTACACAATATCAGGCTTTTCCTGAGTTCAGGTCTTCTTCCAAACCTGTGTCTGCATTCAGGACAGGAATATTCTCTCTCCTCCTGGTTGTCCCATGTTTTGTTGATGCAGACATTGCAGTAACTGTGTCCACATGTCAGGGTCACAGGATCTTTATAAATGTCCGTGCAGATGGAGCAGGTCAGATCATCAGCCAACGCCATCACTGAAAGCAGGAAAAAAAAAAACAAGTCAAAGTCCCTTTAATCTCATAAAACTAACCTTTGCTCAAAGTGCAAAGTTTATGGAGAAGCAGAGTTTAGTATCCTATTAACCATGTAGTTTCTTCAGTGCAGGATCCTTGCAAACAAATTACATCTATGGAACTATTGATGTTGGAACTATATTTTAATTGCAAACATCAGCAATCTTAATGGTGTAAAAATACTGCTTCAGTTGGCCACATGGAAGGATGGCAAGTGTCTCTAAGAGGTAACCAAAATTGTCATCATATACACTGACTGTAACTGTACACGGATTCCTCTGATTTAACAAGCTCGGAGTAATTTGTTATGAATTATTTACTTTAATTAAGGAAAACTTTAGTGTTAGACATACAAATATGGATTCCAGCGCTGGTGTGCCTTGGAGCCTGGTAATGCTCCGTTCCTAAAACATTAGCTGATAGGGGGATCTAATGTGCATGCGTGGCAGGTACCATGCATGCATTATTATTATTATGTTATTATTTATATAGCACCATCAAATTCTGCAGCACTTTACAGTGGGTGGACGAACAAACATGTAACAGAGGGATTGAGGGCCCTGCTCAGTGAGTTTACATGTTAGAGGGAGTGGGGTATAGTGACAGTAACAGAGGGATTGAGGGCCTGCTCAGTGAGTTTACATGTTAGAGGGAGTGGGGTATAGTGACACAGTAACAGAGGGATTGAGGGCCTGCTCAGTGAGGTTACATGTTAGAGGGAGTGGGGTATAGTGACACAGTAACAGAGGGATTGAGGGCCTGCTCAGTGAGTTTACATGTTAGAGGGAGTGGGGTATAGTGACACAGTAACAGAGGGATTGAGAGCCTGCTCAGTGAGTTTACATGTTAGAGGGAGTGGGGTATAGTGACACAGTAACAGAGGGATTGAGGGCCCTGCTCAGTGAGTTTACATGTTAGAGGGAGTGGGGTATAGTGGACACAGTAACAGAGGGATTGCGGGCCCTGCTCAGTGAGTTTACATGTTAGAGGGAGTGGGGTATAGTGACACGGTAACAGAGGGATTGAGTGACCTGCTCAGTGAGTTTACATGTTAGAGGGAGTGGGGTATAGTGACACAGTAACAGAGGGATTGAGGGTCCTGCTCAGTGAGTTTACATGTTAGAGGGAGTGGGGTATAGTGACACAGTAACAGAGGGATTGAGGGCCCCGCTCAGTGAGTTTACATGTTAGAGGGTGTGTGGTATAGTGACACAGTAACAGAGGGATTGAGGGCCCCGCTCAGTGAGTTTACATGTTAGAGGGAGTGTGGTATAGTGACACAGTAACAGAGGGATTGAGGTCCCTGCTCAGTGAGTTTACATGTTAGAGGGAGTGGGGTATAGTGACAGTAACAGAGGGATTGAGGGCCTGCTCAGTGAGTTTACATGTTAGAGGGAGGGGGGTATAGTGACACAGTAACAGAGGGATTGAGGGCCTGCTCAGTGAGTTTACATGTTAGAGGGAGTGGGGTATAGTGACACAGTAACAGAGGGATTGAGGTCCTGCTCAGTGAGTTTACATGTTAGAGGGAGTGGGGTATAGTGACACAGTAACAGAGGGATTGAGGGCCTGCTCAGTGAGTTTACATGTTAGAGGGAGTGGGGTATAGTGACACAGCAACAGAGGGATTGAGGGTCCTGCTCAGTGAGTTTACATCCCTGCTCAGTGAGTTTACATGTTAGAGGGAGTGGGGTATAGTGACACAGTAACAGAGGGATTGAGGGCCTGCTCAGTGAGCTTATATGCTACAAGGAGTGGGGTATAGTAACACAGTAACATAGGGATTGAGGGCCCTGCTCAGTGAGATTACATGCTAAAGGGAGTGGGGTATAATGACACAGTAACAGAGGGATTGAGGGCCTGCTCAGTGAGCTTACATGTTAGAGGGAGTGGGGTATAATGACACAGTAACAAAGGTATTGAGGGCCTGCTCAGTGAGTTTGCATGTTAGAGGGCGTGGGTATAGTGACAGTAACAGAGGGATTAAGGGCCCTGCTCAGTGAGCTTACATGTTAGAGGGAGTGGGGTATAGTGACACAGTAACAGAGGAATTGAGGGCCTGCTCCCGAGTGAGTTTGCATGTTGGGGGTATAGTGACACAGTAACAGAGGGATTGAGGGGCCTGCTCAGTGAGTTTTACATGTTAGAGGGAGTGAGTATGGCCAACACAGTAACCAGAGGGATACGAGGGCCCCTGCTCAGTGAGTTTACATGTTAGAGGGAGTGGGGTATAGTGACGTGGCAAGAGAGTTGAGGGCCTGCTCAGTGAGTTTACATGTTAGAGGGTGCGGTGTATAGTGACAGTAACAGAGGGATTGAGGGCCTGCTCAGTGAGTTTACATGTTAGAGGGAGTGGGGTATAGTGACACAGTAACAGAGGGATTGAGGGCCTGCTCAGTGAGTTTACATGTTAGAGGGAGTGGGGTATAGTGACACAGTAGCAGAGGGATTGAGGGTCCTGCTCAGTGAGTTTACATGTTAGAGGGAGTGGGGTATAGTGACAGTAACAGAGGGATTGAGGCCCCTGCTCAGTGACTTTACATGTTAGAGGGAGTGGGGTATAGTGACACAGTAACAGAGGGATTGAGGGCCTGCTCAGTGAGTTTTCATGCTAGAGGGAGTGGGGTATAGTGACACAGTAACAGAGGATTGAGGGCCTGCTCAGTGAGTTTACATGTTGGGGAGTGGGTATAGTGACATAGTAACCTAAGTTGAGGGCCGCTCAGTGAGTTTATGTTAGGGGGAGTGGGGTATAGTGACACAGTAACAGAGAGTTGAGGCCTACTCAGTGAGTTTATGCTAGAGAGTTGGGTATAGTGACAGTAACAAGAGGGATTGAGGGCCCTGTACTCAGTGAGTTTACATGTTAGAGGGAGTGGGGTATAGTGACACAGTAACAGAGTGATTGAGGGCCCTGCTCAGTGAGTTTACATGCTAGAGGGAGTGGGGTATAGTGACACAGTAACAGAGGGATTAGGGGCCCTGCTCAGTGAGTTTACATGTTAGAGGGAGTGGGGTATAGTGACATTAACAGAGGGATTGAGGGCCCTGCTCAGTGAGTTTACATGCTAGAGGGAGTGGGGTATAGTGACACAGTAACAGAGGGATTGGGGGCCCTGCTCAGTGAGCTTACATGTTAGAGGGAGTGGGGTATAGTGACACAGTAACAGAAGGATTGAGGCCCTGCTCAGTGAGCTTACATGTTAGAGGGA